AAAGTTACAATGAAATGAAAAGGAGTAGATGTGTATTTTCAGAAAACTGATAAATAATGTTATATCTTATTGCATAAGCTTAGCATCAATTGTGTGACTGTTATTAAGGGGAAAAAATAAAGTTTTCAATTAAACATTGCATTGTAACAATAAGTAAGTTTCAAAATTATAAAATATGTTTTTAACTAAATGTGATATAAATTTTAACTACGGTGTATTTAACAAATTAAAACTTTCAACTGTATCATTTCTATATTTTACACTGAAATTTTGAAATGAATCTATCTGTTTACAGTACTACAGGAAATAAATATATATTATTAAGCTCAAAACACTAATATTGTGAACCAATAAAATATTTTTGTAGCTAGAGTCTGAGAAAGTTCAAAAACCTATAAAACTAAGGTGAAGTAGATCATAGCTCGAAGTAATTGCACATTAATTTAGCATTAAAAACGCCCAGATCTTAAATAAACTGCATTTAAAAAATTGTTAGAGGTTTGTATTTTTGTGTTTATATTTCAGATTTTTGTGTTTATATTCAGATAATTGTAGAGGTTTCATGTATTTTTGTGCTTATATTTTCAGATTATGAATTTAAGTATTGCAGTTCTAAATATTTTCTGAATAAATAATCACAGGTAGAAAATTATATCTATTTAATCACATACCATAAAAGACTTTCTTATAAATATTGTTACGAAATGTACAGGCGTGGTAGGATAGCTTCCCCACAAAGCAGTTTTATGGTTGCCATAAAATGGCAAGGGAAGGCAGGGTTGCCACATTTGGCGGAAATCACCCATTGGGCGACAAAATTGGCGATATACCATGGACGGTTGGAGAACCTTCTGGAACGAATTCTTACCAGTTTAGCCCAGAATGTTCCCGAACACAAGCCAAAAGCTATATAAGCCCTGCTGGTCCGCAGTCAGTTAGTGTGTCTCTCATCAAGAGTGTGTGTGCCTCGTCTAGCGAGTCAACCCCTGCGGAGTCGCTCGAGTTGACAGCCGGGCAGCGAGTGCCAAGTGGGTCGTCGAGTACACTGAAGGAGTCTGTTAGTGTATTGTCAAGAGAGTGTGTTTAGCTCTGGGAAAGACTGAACCGAAGACTCAGGAGCTGTGCTCGTGTGTCGTCGAGTGCATCGCGAGTTGTAGTGTGGAGAGTCTGGAGAGTACATGGAGTTCCGAGAACAACCAAGCAGAGTCGGGAACTGTACTCCGGAAAGCAGAGTCGGCTGCTTTGCAGGAAGCTGTCTCCACCATGATAGCCTGATAACCTGAAGACTGTGTCACTGATCGTTTGAGCGTGTTTATAGTAGATCTTCGACGACTGTAAAACGTGTTTTGAAGCTGCCCTGACAATACTGGCAAATAAAATGTGTTTTGATACTTCATAATGTGTCGTCGTTATTCACTCCAAATCTACACTAACCCCGTACGAATATGAAGGAAGAAAATAATGCAACAACTGGTGTCAGAAGAATTAGAAAAAAACGCAACAATTGGTGTCAGGAGTGGGATTTGAGGGTGAATGCCAGTGACAAGAGAAATGGAAGAACTAGTAACACAGCTCATGACTGCCTTTGCTGAATTCCAAGAAAAGATGGAGGCCGGATATGATTAGATAAAAGCTGGATATAAGGAGATGACAGCCGAGATCAAAGCCGGACTGAAAGAGATGAAAGCCATACTGGAAGAGAAGAAAACCCAACGAGAAGAAATAAATGTTGGCCAAGAAAAGGTGCGAGAGCAACTCCAACAGGTGAAAGAGGAGCTTGAAGAAGAAACTGGAGCCATAAAAGAAGATGTGGAAATGACAGAAGTGGCATCTGAAAAATCGAAGATGGGTAAATGAATAAAGTAGTTGATGAAGTGTCTGAGAATGATCAAGAAATGAAGGATGAACCGTCTAACGAGATTAAAGAGAGAGATAAAAAAGATGAAGAAATGCAAGACAGGAAAGAAGGTTATGATTCTCATGTGCCTGAAGTAGAAACAAAAGAAAGTGAAAATGTGACTGTTAAGTTCAACGAAACTGATAGTGAAATTACGAAGTCGCAGTTATCAAGAATTAAACCATCTGAAAGTGCATGTGATGCAGAGATGGAAGAAGCTGATATACAGCTTAAGCAGTGTGCTCCAGTATTGCAGAAAATTCACCCACTGTGCAAACTATGTGTGCGTCTCAGTGCAGATTTTGCAGACAGGGACTTGATTCAAAACCCGAATACTTCTGCTTGTAAACCAGAATACTTCTTGCTTTCCCTCCCGGGGGTCGACGTAGAGAATTCTGCAAAGCTACTGGCTAGGACCTGTACCTAGACAGTCTCGGCCACGGGGTATAAAATTTATGAACTTGGTGGTTCTGAAGGTTCTGGAAAAGGTCACTTATTGGCCAGGCCTCCAGAGGGTCTGGCTCATTCCTAGCGCGGCGTGGAACTAGTAGGATTGGAACTGGGGGATTCTACCCCCGGGTATGCTGGGTAATCACCCGCTTCGACAGGCAGCCCGAGTGGCTGGTGGGTAGCAAATGACGACCAGTGCCGTCCGGGTGACTAACTGGGGGGTGCGCCTCTCTCTCCAAGGGGCCAGAAAGCAGGTTGAACCTCCGACTCTGGTCCTAAGGAGTAGGGGGAACTGTAGTGCAACCTTAAATGTGTTGCGGAACGGGGAATGCCCAAATTTGTTTGTTCTGCTTGTAAAGGATTGGATTCTATTCGCGACCCTGGTGCGAACATCGGAACTGGTTCCCAGGAAACGAAGGAAAATAAGCATGTACCATCTGCTAAGAGTATCGCGGTGAACTGTACACATGATGTGAACAAACTTCAGAAGTAGTGAACAAACTGTTTCACATCTTCCTGTGGATGAAAAGTCTGAAAGAACTGAATCTTCATACTGCAACAAACATACATAAAACATACATAAAACTTCATACATAAAAACAAAAATGCATCTGAGATCTACAGGGGAAAAGTTTTTGACCCGGGTATATTTTAAAAGAAAGACAGAGACTGAAATTAGACTTTAATTTGATGTTAGATTTTAGATTTAATTAGAGATTAGATTTAGTTTTATATTTTTATTGAGACCTTAATTTGAATAATTTAAAATTGTTATATGTATATTTTGTAGATATAACTTGTACATACTGTAAATATCTGTTTCTTTAGTTATGTTATTTATTTATACCTTATAATTGTTTCATTACGCTTTTTTTGTATCGAATTATGCTTCTGACCAAGGGTTGTACTGTCCGGGATGTGCAGTCTTTGGAAGGGGGCAGTGTTACGAAATGTACAGGCGCGGTAGGATAGCTTCCCCGCAAAGCAGTTTTAGGGTTGTCATAAAATGGCAAGGGAAGGCAGGGTTGCCACATTTGGCGAGAAATCACCCATTGGGCGACAAAATTGGCGATAACCATGGACGGTTGGAGAACTTTCTGGAACGAATTCTTACCGGTTTAGCCCAGAATGTTCCCGAACACAAGCCAAAAGCTATATAAGCCCTGCTGGTCCGCAGTCAGTCAGTGTGTCTCTCATCGAGAGTGTGTGTGCCTCGTCTAGTGAGTCAACCCCTGCGGAGTCGCTCGAGTTGACAGCCGGGCAGCGAGTGCTGAGTGGGTCATCGAGTCCACTGAAGGAGTCTGTTAGTGTATCGCGGTTAATGCATCATCGAGAGAGCGTGTCGAGCTCCGGGAAAGACTGAACTGAAGAGCCATGAGCTGTGCTCGTGTGTCATCGAGTGCATCGCAAGTTGTAGCGTGAAGAGTCTCGAAAGTACGTGGAGTTCCGAGAACGACCAAGCAGAGTCGGGAGGTGTACTCCGGAAAGCAGAGTCGGCTGCTTTGCAGGAAGCTGTCTCCACCGTGATAGTCTGATAACCTAAAGGCTGTGTTGCTGATCGTGTCAACGTGTTTATAGTAGATCTTCGACGACTGTAAAACGTGTTTTGGAGCTGTCCTGACAATACTGGCAAATTAAGTGTGTTTCGATACTTCATAAAGTGTCGTCGTTATTCACTCCAAATCTACATGAACCCTGTACGAACGTGAAGGAAGGAAATAACGCAACAACTTGTGTCAGAAGAATTAGAAAAAAACGCAACAATATATTTGATTTCTCAATTTAAGTTTCTTATTATAAAATTACTGTTACAATATAAAGTAAAATTAAATTAAAAAAATTAGAATGACATAAATAAAGTTCTACTGATTTTAATGACAATCTGGCACAGGTCATTCTTCTTCAAAAGGGAGAAATTATGGACAGCTCTTATGATAATAAGTTTATCCTTTTAAATGTTTTATTTTTCTCAGACTCAAAGCATTATAAGATCAACAGTACCTAAGAATTACTTCAATGCATTTATGAAATAATTACTCATAATTAGAAAAAGTTCCATAGTTGTAACTAACTACATGTAATAATTAATAGATTTTAAAATGTGAAAAAAGAAATAACAGGTCTGCTGCAATTTAAAGGCAGATAGGATATACTAATAACAGTGATTCCCATCACTGTATTTAAATTAATGTTAAAATGAATTTTAATAATTTTTATTGTTTTCTTCATTGCCATGCACCTTCCACAAGCTAGTGATTGCTTAATTCTTGTGTTATATGAGGGAAAACATTTACAAAAATTTTTCATTTTCTGCTGCACTATTCATAGTGCACTCCAGCAATACTCCTGAAAGCATACCTTTACATAATTTAATATTTAATTATATGCATGTAAATTATATTTTAAGATTTACATAAATTTGATCTCCTTCCTATTTTTAATACAAATTATAAAAATTGGAGATGTTAAACAAATGCAGTTGTTTGATCTATTTTCAAATCATAATAGAAAAGTATTATGTCGTGAAATTTAATTCCTTATAATTAAATTATTAATGCCTTAAAAATCTCTCAAGTTATATATCTTCTTTTATGAATTATGAATTAAAAGGTTTAATACTAACGTTATAATCACAGATATTGTTAATACTTACCATACAACACATTCTTTTGTAAAACTTTAGCCCAATACGGACCAAGCGCACAATGAATAGATCCTGTAAGTTATAAAATATTTTTTACTTTAAAAAGCATTCTATAAAAATTCAGTATGTCATATAACACCTATGTATAAAATAAAACATGAAATACTTAAAACTTAAGTTAAAAATGAATTAAACTAAGATTTAAAATGAATAAATGACATTTTAGAACATGCAGTACTTTATTGTTTTTGATAGAAATCAGATAAATTCATACTTATATGAAGTATTTATTATCTGTACAAAAACTACTAAACCACCATTTTCTGTGATTATGTGAAAGACAATTAAAACCATTAAAAATACATTTAATCGTTTAATGTATATAATATGGAACAGTAGAAAAATCAATATTTTGTGTGAAATGAGTTTTGCTTTAACCATAGCTTTTAAATATTTTAACTTTAAGAAGATTAATTTTACTAAATTTTCTCTTGAAATATTTATCCCAAACGTGTTCTTGCTCTCAAAGTTCTCCTTTGAAATAATTAAAAATTTTTAAACTCTTCATCTACAGCAAAGGTGAATACATTGGATGAAAATAATCTTTGGAACCTCCTTATGAAGGAGCATTTCCTGTCATTGATCGCAAAGATAAACATTTTACTATTAGCATACAAAGGAAGCATGTCAATGTATCCCTTGATTGCTTGAAACCAGGTAATATTTTAGTTCAAGATAACTCTCAGTTAGCAAAACCTGACCACAGCAAATTGCACAGAATGAACTCAAATTCAGATGTGGATCAAAAACACGGGTAGAACTACACATTTACCTGTCAGGTTCAAGGATTGTATCTAAATTCTTCTGATAGTGATTAACACTGCAGGGCTAATCACTAACTATTTCTTCACCTCTGTAAAGTAATTTAGTTACTGGTGGGGAAGTAGTATAGTAGCCCAGTTATTGCATGAGTAATAATTGTTTTGTAAAATTAACATTTTGTTAATATTCATATTTAATTTTTTTATGCTGAATGGCAACAAGTAGTAATATGTGATTTTATATATATATATTTTTCCTTTTTTAATTTTGATTCTATTGTTATTCAAAGTAGCAGCTTATTTTGATAGCTAAAAAATAAAAGAAGTAAACTTAGGTATTCGTTAATAATTCTTGCTGTTTCTAAATTACAATTCAGTTTAAATACTGGTTGTAGAGACTACAAATGCACCTTCCATTTGATCTTAATCTTTTATATTGGCATAAAAATCTATTTTGTGCATATGTAAATTAAAATTTGCATTCAGCTATCCAAAGTACATTTATAAATTTTTTAACGATCTAGTATTTACAGGGTGATCAGTGAATAAGCCCTGATTTCAAAATTAAATATCTCTACAACAAAGATCGATAGAATTATACTGTAAACTGTACGTTCATTAACAAAACTCTAAAAATGTTGTACAAAAGTTTAGAAAATTTAGTTACAAAAACTGTTAACAGATGGCACTCTGCATTGAAAACTCTCTGAAAGGAGCAAAAAAATAAATAAATAAATAAATTGAAGCAGCCTTTGCAATCAAAATACAATTTTTTCAAAATGTTCACCGTTCGAAACCATGAGGTGGCGTAAACGAATAATGAAATTTGACATCCCGTCTTGCGATGTCTCAACGGAAATGGAATCGCATGCAACACCAATCAACGATTCAAAGTCATCTAGAGTAGCGGGATTGTTTCAATAGACAGTGTCTTTCAATGCGCCCCACAAGGACTCAGATCGGGAGAATATGGAGGCCAAGCTATTCCTGTGTCAGTAAATTGCAGATAATCTAACGCAATTACTCTATTTCCAAAGTATTCATGAAGAATGAGAAAAACTTTATCTGTTCGATGTGGTCAAGCCCCATCTTGCATGAACCAGCCGATACCTGGTCGATCCTCCAACGCTAGTTGAGTATTGACAAATTGTTCCAAAATTGTAATGTTCAGTAGTTCGCTTCTTGTACAAAAAATGGTCCGATAATGCAGCTGGCGCATACCGCAGCCCATACAGTAACTTTAGGCGAATGCAGTGCTTTCTCTTCACACAAATGAGGATTTTCGGTACCCCCAAATCTCCAGTTTTGTTTATTAACGATCCCATTCAAATGAAAATGTGCCTCATCTGTGAACCAGATGCAGCTCACATCAAATCTGTCATTGTCGACGATTGTTAGAATCTGATTCGCAAAGTCAACCCTTTGTTGCACAGCTTTCATGGGTTTGGCGTGATGACTTTGGATTTTGTATGGAAACAGCCGTAGGCTATTTTTTAATATTTTTTGCATGCTCGTGTACTTCAAACCTGTCTCTGATGCCATCCGTCAAATGCTTTTCCTAGGATTTTGCTGAACAGTTCCAGAAACTTTGACTGCACTTTCAGGAGTGACTACAGTTTGCCTAGGCCCAACGTTTCTCTTTCGATCATCAACCACGCTGCCAGTCCGTTCAAATTTTGCAAAGAGAATGCAAATGGATTTTGCATCGGGTCCAACTGGAACATTAAATCGGTTTGAAAACTGCGACGTGTTGCCGTAGGGCTGTGTTCTAATCGGTGAAATTCCAGAACCAAAAAAACACATTGTTCAATGGAATACATTATTTCACTTTCTACACTAGCCTTTTTTCACTAGCCAACAGTCGTACTGATCACTTTCAAATTCAAAGCACATTTTTAAAGGCATTTTCACATTCATTGCGATTAGAGCGCCATCTGTTAACGATTTTCGTAACTAAATTTTCTAAACTTTTATACACCATTTTTACAGTTTTGCTAATAAATGTACAGTTTACCTCATAATTCTATCGACCTTTGTTGCAGAGATATTTAATTTTGAAATCAGGGCTTATTCGCTGATCACCCTGTACATGAAGGTGTAGGTGGCTTCGAAGGGAGTGTGATTGAAGTATCAATCTTGGCAGTTTCTGCTACAAAAATAAAGGCCGATTTAAGATGATCAATGCTTACCACTGTCTCTTTATTACCGATAAGTATATGATAGGTCTTGGATGTGCGACCTAGAACCAGATGTTGGCCTTTATAAGTAGGCTCCAAAGACTTTTTGATGCATCACACTTTAAAAGCACATGCAATGATTTAGTGAACTCTTTGGGAATAAACACAAGTCCTGAAGAATGTAAACTTGTTGGTGTAGGAGCTAATGCAGCCATAGTTTCACGCAATTGTCTGAGAACACATGAGCCTCGACACTGATTGATTTTATTGGAGGGTTTGTAAAATCTCCAGGTAAACATAAGTTGACACCATAGACATTTCAGCACTGGAAGAACCCAGATCCTCTGTAAAAGCCATTCTTAATCCTAAGAGCACTGTGAGAAGAACAGCAACCTAGTGAACAGGAAGGAGTATGGCATCTAATGGCCGTTTAAGAGAGCGATGAAACGTGCTATATTTTGATTGTGCTGCAGAAAACGTTTTTGTAAAGAATGCCAGTGGTTTCCATGCTTCTTCTATAAGCTGTTGCAAAACTGCACCCATGGCTGAATTAGATGCGTCAACCATTACTGCTAATGGATGCTTAGAAGGGTAACTAAGAGCTGTGCCGACACTAGGTCCTCTTACATTGTACAAAGGCTGTGCAAGCTTCAGCTGACCAAATAATTGGCCGTGTATCTTTCTTTTTGCTGCCAATCAAATATGCATGCAAAGGCGCCTGCTTTGCAGCGGCATGAGGAAGGAAGCGATGAGAAAAGTTCAACAAGGCCAGAAGACGGCACAACTCCAGGACAGTTTTGGGGTTCTGGGAAATTTTGTATTGCAGTTATCAATAAGTGGGCGAACAACATCCAAGGAAACCTCGTGACCAAGGAATGACACTTGAGATTTTCCGAAAACACATTTTGATGAAGTGACAACTACACCATAGGACTGAAATTGGTCAAGAACTAAATGAAGGTGTTCAATGTGCTCATTTTTATTTGTCAAAGCTATATCATCGAAATATGGCACACAAAAATCAAGTCATGAAGGGCTTCATTTACAAAACGCCGAAACGTTTGTGCAGCGTTACACTACTCAAAAGTCATAACAGAAAATTCAAATAATCCAAAAGGAGTTATGACAGCAGTTTTGGGTACATCAGATGGATTGACTGGAATCTGATTATAAGCACAAGTTAAATCTAAAGTAGAAAAAACACTTTTGCCTTCCAAGACTTGCATGCAACCTTGAATATGAGGAATCGAATATCTGTCAGGCCAAGTAACTGCATTAAGACATCAGTAGTTCCCACAAGGACCAGGGGTGTTTGTGGGACCCCAAAAAAATCCCCTGAAACTTTTACGGACTTACTACCGACATTTTGGAGTTTCGAGAAGGGGGGAGAGAAATGAAAAATTACAATTATGAAGTATTGAATGACCTAATTATAAAAGCTCAATGAATTACTTTTTTGCAAAATTAATAACCATAAATTTTCAAACATATAAACTACTACATTTTATGTAAATATTTTAAATTACCTGAATTAATTCTTTAAAAAAAAATTATCTAATTTCTGCTGCTTTTTTTTATTTTCTGATGTTTGTGGGCTTGTCTTTCTTTTGTGGTGAACTTCATAATTGCAGGAAGGTTGACTTTTATTTTCCTCATTTACAGTTGAAGAAATTTCCTCGAGAACTGCACATGCAGAGGTAGAAGCAGTTTGCTTTTCTGCTAATGTAGAAGGTTTGTTTTCAGAGACTTTTATAGGTGACTCATCTGAAATACATGTTTTTAAGTCCTCTTGATATGTTTTCCAACTTCTGTTCATATTCAGTAAGAGATCTTTGTGAATTGGATCAGTCATTGGATTTTTTTGAGCCATATTTTTTCACATGAGGTTTCTTTAGAAGCCATTAAATCATATTTAATAGTCTGCACTGCATCTAGGGAATCAATCTTAAGAGAGGTTCTATAGTCAGTGACAAGTGTATCCATTAAGTTGAATGCACTTTCCACTAATGGGCCATGGAAGCAGCTAAGGCAGGCTTTGACCAATTTAGCCAATGTAGGATACTTATAATCATTT